TAAACTTGTGAGGGCTGTTAGGTGCTGTATAAATTTTAGCATCTCACAGTCATAAACAAATAACTCTGTGAGTGAAGTCAAACCTTTCATGCCTTCCTCTGGGAGATTCTCTAGTGCGCTACAGCTATGAATTTCCAGTCTTTTCAAAGCATTGAGACAAGCCAGGCAGCTCTTTGAGATTGTAAAAGAGAGATTTTAAAGTATTTGAGATTTGCAAAGCTTTTGAAAATCTCTTCCGGGAGCGAAGTAGCTTCATTGTTATGGCTAATATGGAGGGAAGTAAGAGTCCTAAAATTATAAGAAGAAAGGATTGTAGAAACAAACATATGGCAATAAAAAATCGTCATCGGTTCAAGCACAGGGAATTGTTCTTTTTCAGCAATCCTTTCAGATTATGAAATTCGCCTATAAAAAGTCTTCTAACCTTCTTCTTGTAGGGAATCCAGAATGAACATCAATATCCACTTCTTCAACATACTCTGCAGACTAACTTTAGACAAGGCAGCTCCCCAAAGAGTGGTAAGCATGAACAGTTTTCACAACCTCTAATTGTAATAGAGGCAACATTTCTCAAAACTGAGTGATTCATCGGAAACCTCTGAAGCCAATGATTTCTAAGGATTGGGGTGTGGTTTGAGGGCTTCAAGCACTTTAACTTCTTCTGATTCATATCTATGCGGTCCTTTCCAACTCCAATTCATGATTCCCCTTTGCAGATAAATTGGCTTCATTTGCATCCTTATCATTCTTCACTCTCTCAAGATGTGTGATAGAGATTTTACGTCTCGTAGTTCACCAAGTTGACAACTTTTCTTCTGAATTCCTACCGCAAATCCACTTAGAGTCTTAAGTCATGTCAAAGATCCTTATCTTTGGTGGCATAGAATTCAGTTTATCGCAACCATGAAGTAAAAGATTTCGGAGACTACCAAGTTTACTTGTTTGTTTTGGCAAACAACAAAGTGAATCAAGAGTCTGCAGATTTTGAAGCTTGCATAACTGTTTTCGAAGACTACGAATGCTAGAATTGTCAGACAAGTCCAGGCATCTTAAATGTAATAGATCTCCAATGGAAGAGGGTAACTGCTCAAAGTCTAAGTGACTTAGATTAAGCACCCTCAATGAGACAAACCTGGCGAAGAGAGAAGGAGAGTAAGAAGGCACCAATTGCCTTTATCAACCTCTTCTCATTAAAATCTTCTAGACAAGGAAGCTCACCAAAGGGTGGTAAGAAGGAGCAATTTTCGCAACCGTTAATTAGAATAGAGAAAATATAAGGGGTTGAAAGGGAATTCTAGTACGAAGTTAAAAGTTGAAAGTTTCTCCACTAATGATTAAGTTTTCATACAAGTTCATGTAAGGGTCAAATTCCTATAAGAATTCAATTATTCGAGCATGGGGCTTTTATTTTGTTTTTCAATCCAATAACTAACTATTTGGTTTTGATTTCAAACATTCTTTTGGCGCACAAGGGCATCTCTTTTATTGTGGGGTAATATTTCAGCTCTGGCTACAAGATTTTTCATTAAATAAATGTCTTTTTAACTTGGTCTCATTTTATATTTATGTCTTCCAATTTTGAGTGCCTACAAGTAGACACTTAGGGTGTGTTTGGTATGAAGGAAAACATTTTCCGGAAAATATTTTCCAATTTTCTCATGTTTGGTTGGGTTAAATGTTTTGGAAAATGTTTTCCAAATCAACTCATTTTCCTCAAATTTAAGGAAAATGACTTCCCTTCAAAACTTATGGAAAACATTTTCCAAAACTCTTTTCCAACTTCAAATTACAATTACTTTTTTGTTGAAAAAATCAATTTATTTTGTCCCTACCCTCAAACC